CCAATCTATCCTATTGCTTTGGATTAAGACTTTCACATTTGCCTACTCTGTAGTTATTCATGTGATAAACACTTAAAAATACATGATATTGCTACAAAAATTATGAACATCATAGTAAATAAATAAGGTTACAGGTTTTCCCCCCTTGGTTTTTGTCCATCTTTGCTCTTTACTAGTAATGGGCTGTTTAAAGTGAAACAGAATGAATGTCCAATTGTGAACTATAAACAGAATATCTTAATTGGTTATTGAATAACACACAGTGTTCAATCTATATTGTAATGTTACCAACTTGTTATAAACTAGTGTTGAAATCAAAGAGTCCGTTTAGTCAGTGGGTGTTTAGTCTGCAGGCTTGTTAAGCCTTCTGCTTTGCTATAAAAGCTAGAATGAACACCATGCCAGACGGTAGCTGCATTGTTACCATCTGATTTCAGAGAACACATTTTGATTGTTAATGGTGGCATCCCCCAGAATGCTTTCTCTGCTAAATGTAAATTGAATCAAAATATGACACATTTCAAATTGTTCTAGTTGTACATCCCCCAAAATGAACTTATTCAAGGTAAGGTACAAGCTTTCTCTTGCTGAGCCCTCCAAGTTTGCAGATTAAACCTGTGAAGAGAGGTGTTAGAAGGTTGGTATCATCTCTTTATGTGGAATGTTGCTTTCCTGGAATCTCAAGTCACTGCAAACAGTTAAATACCTGGGTAGTTACTTCTTTCGTGAGTTCAGAAAAATTAGATTCCTAAATCCCCAGATTTACCATGGTAAAGTGAAAAAGTTATAGTTAGCATAGCAATTCTGTATCTTCTGGCAGCCAGCAGGATGGGTTTTATTATTAGTGCACATACATAGCTAATGTGCCTGTCCTTGTTCCTGCATCAATAAACACTGAAAAATAGCTCTTGTTCTTTATGAATTGTGGACCCATCACCTCCTCCCATTACTTTCTAACTATGCAGTAGAGAGACACAGGTTGTGCTGTCTGTGCCTAAACAACAGTGAAACTAAGCACATTAACCACCATTAACATAGAGGAAACATGACCATAACATTTTTTAATTTACGGTTATATGTTTGATTCAGTAGTCTTTTTCAGAATCCTGACTCTAAGAAAAATCATCCAGGAATCATAGTGTTCAGATTTCTCCAGTTGCTTTGCTTTCATAGTGTTTGAGAGGGAGGGGGAAGATCTTCCATTATTTCTATCATAATCCCATTTTTCAGATATGTAGCAGCAGCAGTTTCCCAGTGAGTGTCACTGTGCCAGTGTCTAATATCTTAGAAGTACCCACAAGTTGGTGCCCCATTCCTACCAACTTTTAAAAAACAAAATATTCAACACTGACTTTCCTATATACTTTGGTATCACCATGTTTGTTCATTCTTCAGCCTATGCCAACTGCCTCCTTGTATCAGCCTCTGCATTAAAAAGATCAAGATAAAAGGCATGTGCCATATGTACTTACAAGTGTCTGAAACTATCAGACTGGCCCATGCATTAGGTCTTTGCTTTTTGTTCATCTCTGATGCAACTACAATCCTCAGTGGCAGTGTTTTTCAAATTGTAGGTCTTAACCATTGAGTCATGAAATGAGTTTAATATCTAAAGACAACCATATTTCAAAAATGGAGCAGTTAAAAAATACAGGAACAAGAGAATACATAAGAACAAATGCTCTATAATTTAAAATGTTAGCACTTTGTAGTGTTAGATTTTAAAAATGAATGAAAAAAGCCTTAAAGACTAGGGCTATTCATAACTGCTGGAACTGTGGCCAGGATCAGGGCTCTCCTTCCTGGGAACAAGGTGGGTTGAGTTGTGTGTTTCTTAGGGAATGAAGAACAGACTCAGAGTACAGTTATCATCTTTAGGATGAGAAGTCAGGAGAGTTCTAGTGTATTGAATGTTTTACTTCCCTCTTCCTCATGGAAAATTATTGGAACCAAGAAATGCATTAAACATTAACTTGGCAGATGACACCCAAATGACTACAGGCTGTGGTAGAGCCTCCTTGCTACAGGGCATCTTACTCCCATCTACTTTCTGTCTGGCTCATACAGGTGGCAAAGATCCTGAAAAAGGGATAGCTAACCATGTAGGGGACATTATCGTAGAACCAGAACACTCACCTGTTGAAGGTGCCATTCAAATAAATATCAGTACATTTTAACTAAAAATACTGCAGTCTAAGTAGAAAAGGAAAGACTTGGATATCTTATGATTTTTGCTGGTGCTGCATATAATCGCATATCAGTCCTCACTCTAAAAAAGAACCCTTTGCCCTCTGCCTGCTCCTTTGGGTATATTTTTGAAGTCTATACTTCACGGTTAATGCTAACCCACCTAAGTTTACATTCATTGGCTAAATTGTGGTTTTTATGATCTATTGTATGTAGCATAGAGAGGTGAGTATTATACCCAATTGCATGATGATTTCCCCCACTAACCTAGAAGGTGGTGCTTAGCGAAATGAGAAGAGGCTATGTCTTACTCAGAAGCCCTGCTAATGTGTCTTCAATTAAAACCTTTTCTACTTTATTGCCTTTTTTGTAAAATCTCACATCAGTTAAAAGTATGTTTACTTTAGCATTATGAGTTCTTGATTTTTTTCCTTAAGCAGTATAGCTTTTTTTAAAAGAGTAAATTTAGAAGTTATCCAAAGCTTGACACATAAGAAATGTAACTTAATATTTTATAAGTCAATACCGGTATTTTTTTCAAAATTGAGTTTTTTTATACAAATATAAATTTGAGTTGTAGTTTAACACGTGCTATGATCCATATCAAATTTCCTTGATTTAAAATGTCACTAAACGTATTTCTGTGATATCAGTGTTTCCTTCTAGTAAAATCTTTAACAAGGACCCTCACAAGACTGTTAAAAATGTTTAATGCTAAGTGTTACCTCCACCAGGGTGATGACAGCCTCTGTTTATGATGTCCTCTGCCACCATTAGTCAGTTGGTTATCCAACAGTTGCTAGTATTTAGGCAGAAAACATTTCATAGTATAGATTAGAGTAGAATATCCTCAGTATCAATGAAAATACCCTCAAGACCACCAACAATTATAAATTATATTTAGGACTTGTTAGAGGACACATGTATACATTTTAAATGGCCATCTCTGTATGCAAGTATATTACAATTAATGAAATTGTTGGGAAAGGTGTGCTTTAAAAATACCTTCTCTCCCTAGTTTTCTAATTATACAGTTCCATTTTTATGAAATGACCAGACTAGTAGTATCTTAACTATTTTTATATTGCTGTAATAGCCTGTACTTCTTTGGAATGTTTGTTCTTTGGTGAAAGCATGGCCATTGATTATTACAGGTTTTAAAAGTATTCCTCATTGCATCCGTATTTCCTTCACTTTTCTATTCCTACTATCTATCTCCTGTGTGTAAATGTGACCTAATTAACTATTACACAGTGGCTGCCTTAGTTTTGTGTATTTTGATAAAATAGCCTGTTAACACAGGCATTATGAATTTGGTTCTTAAAACTGGTCTTTCTTAGTCTTTTTAAAAATCAACTGGGAATACTAACCCTTGAAACTGCTAATTTCTTGGAGGTGGTAGATTTGGATTACATGCTAAAATGGCTGCCAATTTAACCAAATGTGAGTCCAATAAAGCTTTCTGGTCTTCAGTCTGTTTGGGTTGTTACTGAATGGAACAAAGAACGTTCACTTTCTCCTGCCTGTCTAAAATCTATCCTCTGTGGTCTAAGCCTTGTAGCCAAGCATGCTCACCATTGACAAAAGCTTAAGGGACTATCTGGTGTACTCTTAGCCACCAACTTCAGATGGCTATTAGTTGGGTGGTGTGAATACATTTTAAAAAGAAAGGCTAGGGGAGAATTTCAACAGAAATCACTAACTCACCTCTGATGTGGAGAGTTAACATTGCTGAAAGTGAAAAAAGGTATTCGTTACCACCTTCTGATTTGTTTGGTACCTTTCTTGCCCTGAAAGACAAACTTGCATGTCAACCAGAGGTTAAATTGTTAATAAGGTGCTTGAAAAGAGAATCCCACATTGTTTAACATCTTTGATTCTGGTTCTGTTGATATGCTTTTTTTTTTTTTTTTAGATTAATTGGCTAATGAGACCCAGTCAGTTACCTTTAACCATAGTTTGTGATGGGGAGGGACCACAATAATGAATGTTGTCTTTGATTTTTAGATATGTTGAAGAGCTACCCTTTTGTTTTTGTATTGATGGCTAACTGTTTAAAATAAAATTCAGCAGCCATTTATACAGTTCATGCCTTAAGTAAAGCCTGACTTTCAAAAACCTAATGCTACTTTGGTAGAATGCGTTCATACTTGGAGTTGTTCCAACAAGTTGACAAAGTGGGTGTTAAGAAAGGCTTAGTTCAGCTCTAGGAATTCGACCTTGTGGTTCTGCAACAAATGTAGCCAATCTGAGAATGTTTATACAGATTGAACTAAGAAAACCCACAATGACTAAAAGCATTGAGGCTGAAAATGCATGTACTATATACTGACTCTAGAACATCCACCCATCAGTGCAGCACAGAGAAGTTACTGCTTCCCCTCATGATGATGTGGCTTCCTGGGAGCTACAACTTGCAGCTGCCCATCATCTCAAAAAAAGTACCAGGCCAAAGACTATTAGCCTGAGAAAGGATCAAAATTCAAAGTACAGTTTCTACTTGATATATGTCACTTTCTCACTGTGTGGTAAAAGCTGAACCATTTTAAGATTGGTAAGAGGTAGATACACCACACCCTAAGTGTACACATACTTCCCAATGAGCTGTAGAAGCAAAGCCATCCTTGGTCTTTAGTCTGAAGCACTCTACTTTCCAGGGATGGGGATCTTTACTGAGCCAGCTATTACAGAAATGAATCAAGACTTGCTTCAAAGGGGAAAAAACAGGAAAGCTGCTGAATTGTTAAGGCTGTAGGATTTTTCTTTTGAACAGAACCATCATCCACGAATGCCAAGAAACACATAATCAGTACTCCTGGTAGAACAGTATATTCTCAATATCCAGAAAGGCACAGCATACACAGTTCAAACAGCAGGTTTGTGATTACCATCAAGAGTGTTGGCAAAGCTTACATGACATTTGGTAAACAAGTTATGCTTTAGCCATTCCATAAGTTTGTAAGACCTGATCATATGCATTAAGATACACGCATGCACTATCTAGAACCCAGTTATCATCTATCTCAGCTTTGGCTTCACCACCAAATCATGGCAAATTTAAAATAGATATTGGGGTAATACTAATTTGCCTTAGCAAGTTGACATGAATAGAACTATTTTTTTTTTTTTAAAGAAATCTTTGCCTGGTGCATTAGCTCGGTTGGCAGAATGTTTGCCTAGCATGCACAAAGCCCTGGGTTCCATCCCAAGCACGACATTAACTGATCGTGGTGGCACATGCATCACAACACTTACTAACCTATAAATACCAATGTCAAAATCATACAATTTGAGACCTTTTTAATATCAGGAATAATTATCAATAGGGTGAGAACTCTCCTACTTTAAATAAAGTATGTATATGAAGACAAGAAAATCAGAAATTTGAGGTCATCCTCAGCTGCATAGTATGTTTGAGACCAGCATGGAGACCCTGTCTCAAAAAAGAAAAATAGCTGAGCGTGGTGGCGTACACCCACAAGTCTAACAAACAACTTGGTTAAGTTCAAGCAGGAGGATAAAGGCCATCCTCAATTATGTAGCAAACATGGACAGCCAGCCAAACAAGCAGATGGGGTGGGGAGGCATAGAAACAATCTTTGGTTGTTTGGTAGAATGTTAGATGAGGGGAAGAGATGTTAGCAATGTCTTTTAAGGTTTATTTAAAAATCAAGCCTATTAAGATGTTTTAGTCACCCAAGTTAATCTGAGAGGTCTGAAGGCATGATCTATAAATTAACAAATCCCCTCTGTTATGTGATTCGTAATATCTATTGAACACTTTTGTTTAAAAAGCATGGGGGAATCACAGTGGCTTTTTAAAATTCTATAAAATACAAACTCTAAAATTATACTTAAAGACACTTAAAAAGGTTGGTAAAGCAAGTATCTTTCAAGTTACACTATCCATCTCAGTCCCTGCGGGCTACATAATGTCCTTGGATCCTGGCCCAGGTGGTCAGAATCACTTGTAGGACAGGCAGGAGGAGCTCATATCACCCTGTGTCTGGGAGGAGAGGGCCAAGTGTTTACACTAAGTTGAATTCCCGTAGATTCAGCTGTAGGATTGTGTCTTTCACAGCAGCAAACACAAAGCGGATATTCTCAGTGTCCGTAGCACAGGTGAAGTGGGAATAGATGACTTTCTCCTTGTCGGGGTTCTGGTCTTGATACAGCTTCAAGATAAAGTCCCTGGCAGCTTTCACATCCTGCTTTGGTCCTGCTCAAGAGAGGAGTAAAGAAAAACTAGCTCACCACCGTGTTCTCTCACACAGTCCATTTTTAATGTATTTTTGCTCTTATTTGGGATCCTTCTTTAGTCAATCTTCATATCTAAGAAAGTTTACCTGGAGTAGTTACTGCATTTCATATGAATCTATACAATATTTAAATATTTTCCATTTTATGCAGTGTGTATGCATGTGTACATGCCTGTGACCAGAGGACAGTTTCATGTTATCTTCAGGAATGCCATGCACCTCCATTGACAAGATCTTTCATTAGCCAACAGCTCACCAACTAGGCTAGAACTGGCTGGCCAGCAAGTGCCAGTAATCTGCCTGTCTCCCCTACCCTGGCTCTGTGATTACAAGTTCTCACTATCATGCCTGGCTTTTTTTTTTTTTTTTTTTTTTTTTTTTTTTTTAGGTGAGTTCTGGGGATTGTTTGCAAGGAAAATGGTTTTTTTGTTTTTTTTTTTTTTTTTAAACTGAGCCATTCTCTAGTCCAATGTTTATTTTTTTAAGTGTCTACTGGTATCTGAAAATTGTACTATAAAGTGCTTTGTCTAAAAATAGTGGCCTAGTTTTGTTTTCTAACCACTTGTATGGACAGGCAGCTGTGGACTGGGAGGAGGGAGGTGTGGTGTAGAAACTAGTGTTACTAGGTTGGTTTTAAAGCCTGACAGTTCTAAACCATACTGCCAGAATGTTTAATCAAGGGAAACACTGACATGTAAATATCAACATCAAGAGCATACAGTTTGAGACCTCTTGCACCAGGAGTGATTAGCAAGCATGAGCACTGCCCTTCCTTGAGCAGGTTGCATACATGGAAGACTTCAGCACCAGCCCTGTGACTGAGAAGCAGATAAACTATAACCCCACAAAGCAACAGGTACTCTGAAGTTGTGAGAGCCAGTTCTGCCAGGAAAAGCTGAGTGAATGCGTATACAGCAGAAAGACCAGGCTGCCCGGGGAACAGAAAGGAGGTGGCACACTAGTGCAAACTATAGACAGGTACAGGAGAGTCTCAAAAGGGTTTCCTCCATGAGGCACCTGAACTGGAGCCTGACCAGCCAAGTGGAGAAAGCCAAATGACTTGGCGAATGCATTCAGGCCTTGCAGTGGTGGTGTCTGGTGAAAACATCAGGGACAATGAAAAGTATAATTGGAAGTGAGGATGTAAAAGCCCATCAGGGCGGCCCCAGAAAACATACTGGACACTGGAGATTGCTGCAGGGGAAGAGGCCAGCAAGGTTGGTGTGAGAGCACTGCACCTCCACCCCGCAAATACTTACCTGTGTATTCTGGGAAATAGCTAATTAGATGGGAGTACATGATTTTCTCTTCCAAAAGATCTTTCTTGTTTAAGAACAAAATCACAGATGAGTTCAGAAACCAGGGATAGGTGATGATGGTTTTAAACAAGGCTTTACTCTCTTCCATACGGTTCTAGTGAGAAATGGAGTTACAGTAAGTCAGAAAGAAAAGCAAGACTTGGGAATAGCATGCTAGGGGGCTTGGTGCATCCATCAGTCCTCTCCCTGTAGGGTTACTGCTCTTCTGATGGCAAAGACATGGGCCCACTAGAACTGCTTCTGTTTGCCCACACATAGACACACCCTGACTAGTTTATCATATCCTTTTTGGGACACTAACTCTTCTCTTGCCCTAAACTTGGCTCTTGTGCAACCTGGAGCAAAACATTTATGTTGTTAGACAAGGTGTTTATGTTCTGTAACTGTTTGATTAACAGGTCAGGTGAGATACCAGCTGCAAGTAGGTGTGTGCTTCTGAACAGCGCCTCGGGGGTATTGGAACACAAGAGGAAGGAAAGCTCTTCCAGGAGGACCCCAACCCTGAGCCCTCAGGCATGCTAAACTGGTCAGAACAGAATGAACACTGCAGAGCACCAAAGCCATGCTTTGCAAGTGGGATGTTGTCCCAGGGCAGAGCATCCTAAAAATGTAACTTTCCCAAACCCAGAGAGACATGAGTCCCGTGACAATTATACTTACAAACAGTAATTTTAAATAACATGCTCTAAAATTTGAGGGGCAGATAGCTGAGAAACAATGAGTTTTCTCATGACAACTACTGTTCTGCACAGCATTTTCTCTTATTTCTAAGGGAAAAGGCAAGAACTTTTCTTTAGAGGAGGAAGCCATAAAAATGTCTAAATTCCACACAGGCTCCAAAGGGATGCACCATGATTCTATTCTCTACAAGTCCACACCTGGCCATTCTCTCACGCTGCAGGCTGAGGTCCAGAAAGTGTTATCAGAGAAATAACTCATCTACTTTTAGACATTCTCTAAAGCCTAGGATTATCTCAATCTCCAGAGGGAAAAAAATTCTGTATGGCAGAGTAAGTGGATCCAATGTACATCTACAACTGGTAGGAATGGGCAGGGATAAGCAACCATTTACACGTTCTCCAAACACCTGTGACTCTTTTAGGAAAGATGAATACATTTAATTTCTAAGAATATTGGACTGGGCTCCTGGTTCTTTGAGCACCCAATCCTTTGACTCTTCTCCTAAGAATCCCTGGGTTTTGTTGTTGTTGTTGAGAACTGTATCTCTTGAGATTCCATTTGGGAAAGCTAGGCAGCAGCCACTATTACTCCGATGGCACAAGTAAATGAGTTCGCCCTCCACTAATTGGCTAACATTCTGGCACTCTTCGGAGAGAAGCTTTCACTCAAGAGGTACAAGATATGCTTTGTTCATGGACCACTGCCTGATTGGGCGGGGCATTGATGACTGACATCTATGTCTTTGAAACAAGAGCCAAGAAATCTTGCATAAAAATTCAGAGAAAGGCCATTAGGAGATTATTGGTATTAACTTCACTTAGTGACCAACAGTTCTGGCACTTTCTGTCAGAGCATCTAATAGAACTAGACCCAGCCAGCACATTGCAGCTTTGCAGAAGGCACAGTACCTGCCTGGGCTGCATCAGCCCAGATGCCCTAAATGAGAACCTTGCAGGTAGCTCCTGAACTGCTCCATGTACTGGGCACCTCTGCCCTGGCAACTGAGCTAGGAAGCTTGTTTGGGAGTGCCATTCTCTGGAAGCTGAGGAGTCCGCTCAGATGGCATCTGTTACAAACGGTCACATGGGCTGTGGATGAAGTCGTGGGTTCAATCAATGCAGTGGCACACAGGCATAATCTCAACACTTAGGCAGTAGTGTGAGGCTGAGGGATCAGAAGTGGAAGGCTACCCTTTGCTTCATAACCAGTATGAGGCCAACTTAGGCTACACAAGACTCAATCTTGAAAGAATTGTTAGACAATATTATATGTATTAGGGTCTGAAGGGACTTGGAAATGAAACTACCCCCTCTGGAACCCAGTAAATATAACTACACAGGGCAGTATTTTTTCCAACATGCCACAGCAGTAAGAATCTCAGCTTTGTGTTGGTTTTTATAAGGCATCTAAGGGCTAACAGTAAACTGAGCTCCCCTGCCCCAGTCCCAGGACTATCTGCTTTCTCCTGGTTTCCACCCTTCATGACCCATTACATTAGCTGGAGGAGCTCTCAGGCCATAGTCACCATCAGTCAATCAAGTGAAAGTCTCTGGTATTTGAGCTTGGCACTCACGTTTTTCCTACAGTTCCTTAGGAAATTATACTGGTCAACTATATTAATAGATCCAGGGTTCTGTTCTGACTCTTGGTATGCAGTAAACTGCACCATTGAATCACACAAAGATGAAGTCTTCTCTGGTTTGTTGTTTCTTGTCTGGTTTGGTTTGGGATTTTAGAAGACTTTGTAGCCTTAGCTAGCCTAGAACTCTCAGATATCTGCCTGGCTTTGCCTTCTGAGTGCTGTGATTAGAAGCATGTGCCATCAAACCTGGGTCTGAAATCTAATAATGTCTATCTCAGAATGCAGTTGTTGTTATGTGACATGTAATGGTATTTAAGCCACAGGGTACTTGGTAAATGGGCCTGCAGTGGGCCAGTAGGCTGCATTGGTAACAAATGCCTGAGTGTTGGCTGAAGAGTCTTATTTCCTCATCTAGCTAGCTCCTTGAAAATTGAAGAAATAAGGCTGTCTTCTACAGTTATCACCCCAACCTCCAGCCCAGACGCATACCTCCAAATTCCAAACCCTCAGCATACCTCATTGTCACACTCAGCCAGAACCTGGTCATATTCACTCAGAGCAACCAAGAAAATGATGGAGGTGACACTCTCAAAGCAGTGAATCCATTTCCGTCGTTCAGATCGCTGGCCACCAACATCCACCATCCTACTCAAAAGAGGTAAATGGTCAGAGGTTGGAATGCACAACTCCAGGGTCTCCTCCATGACTTTTAGAGGGAAGGGGCTCTCAAGGTTAGTGTGTTGGAACATGCTGCTGTAGGCAGTGGAGAACCACTTGGTGGTTTCCAAGCAAAGGACTCAGATGGAGCCTGCCTGGAGCTACTGGGTAAGAACTTGCTGCAGAAGTCCTTTACTCCAACCACCCACATAGAGTCTTGGGACATAAAAGGGACAATGGCAAGCCATCATCCTGGTATCTCTGCTTTCTTCAGGTTCTATATTTAAATGTATAATTTGTATTTTGTTTTTTTAGGACGGTGTATGGGTGTATGTCACAAATACCAGCACAGGTGCCCAAAGGCCAGAAGAGGTAATTGGATCCCCTGGAGTTAGAGTTACGGGTAGCTATGAGACACTCAATATAGGTGCTGGGAACTGAACACTTTTAGCCACTGAGCCACCCCTCTGCCATGTCACTGATGCCACTGCTACTAGATAAAATGCAGGCTCACTATTACCAGGTCTGTGGATATTTTGGGGAAACTGAGTAGGTTTTAAATAAAACATCTCCATTTTTAAGTGTTATTGCAAATATTTTTCCTAACACTATGGCAGATAGACCACATAATCTGCCAGGTCACATCTACCACCCCTACACCTCACCCCATCCACATACCAATTTCGAAAGACCCCAAACCAGTGTGTCTAGATGATACACAGGCTCACTGACTCCCATGGCTACCATTTAGTAAGGTGCCTTGGAGCCAGGTTCTAGGGGTACAGACATGTCTGCAATGCTGTATGCTTGGTGTTTGCCTCATATTGCAGAGGGGGAATAGAGCTAGGATAGAAAGCACAAATATCAAGAGACTGTGTGAAGACATTCTACAAAGACCTCACCTTCAAGCATCAGAATTCTTCAACCGGAAAGATTGTACAGGGGAGGTGCCAGGGGCTCTAAGGTATCACCAGCAGGCTATGTTAAACCAAGGCCTAAGGCTGTGGAAAGGTAAAACTTCTTCATCAAAGCTTTGGCAAACTCATTCTGAGTGAGGTGTTTGGGAGGTTGAAAGCAGCCTTTGAAGTTGAAAAGGTTTAAATCCATAGGTCAGCTTGGAAGAGAGTGACCATTAAATTAAACATATGTAACAAAAATGCAGAATACTTTTGTATCACCCCCCCCCACATTTGTGACAGCGATGAAGGAGTGCTAAAACAGAATTGTAATATTGGATTTGATGTGATCATCATTAGAAAGGATAAGGGGAATAACAGACATACAAGGGCTTTGAGGGGTTGAGGGGTTGGAGAGGTGGCTCAGTGGTTAAGAGCTCTTACTGCTTATGCATAGGGCCTGACACAGTCCCAGCACCCACATGGTGGTTCACTACTACCTGTAACTCCAGTGCCTGGGGATTCGATGCTCTCATCCTCTCCAAGAGCTCCTGCATATATCTGGTACACATACATATACACTGAGGCATACATACACAAAATAATTTTTAAAGGTGCCTTGAAATTTTAAGTGTTTTGTAAGTAACCTTTATTATTCAGTAAAGAACTGTTCATCCTTAGAATGTTGTTATTTAAGATGTATATGTATACATTTTACACAGCTATAACTACTCTAAACATATTATAAACAATATATACTTTTCTATATATTCATGATTTTTCTTTAAAGAAAAATCTCAGACAAGGTAATAAGGGAAAGAGAAATCTTACTAACATTAGGAAAAAGACCTCAGTAGACTGTGTTGTCATAGGAGTGCACTTCTGTGTGACTACACATAAGAAGGCCTTTTCATGGTAAGAAGAGCCCAGGTAGGACTCCACCTCTGGACGTGCCCCCTGAACAGACTAATCCTTAAAGGTCTCTGTCTGGGAAACAAACTCACCGAAAAATGATGTTTTCCAAGTCAAATGGATACTCTATGATGCCAGTAGTGGGCACTCGAACACGAAGCACGTCCTGTTGCGTTGGCACAAAAGAGGGCATGGCGATTCGGTCAATGTCAGTCAGGTAACTGTGAGATTAAAGAGTTGAGAAGCTGAGGCTCCATTGTGAGAAAGGAAAAGTCTTTCTTACTCAAGGGAAGTGCCTCCTGACCACAGGGTCCCCACAAGACATGGAGGCCACAGTTACATTCAGAAGTAACTATGCCAGGCCTCTATCCTCCCAAGACCATCCTGAAGGGAGATCAAGACTCAGAAGCACATCTTACAAAAGACTCTAGCCTTCTGAGGATTCACATCACTTGGTCTGGTTCCCAGCTGCATGAAGGAAGAAGCAGCCTAGAGGCCGAGCAGTTAGGTAATGACACTGGCCCCTCACAACAGACCTACCTACTTGCCTTCATCCAAGAACCTTACATAAAGTAGGCACTGTTCTCTGAAGGCTCCGATCAGTGAATTAAGAGCCACATGTATAGAAATACATGGCTGTCAAACAGGCCATGGAAAAACTCCCTCAAAATAAGTTAACTTTCCTATTAAGCACACTGGGAAATAAGACATCTAAAATAATCCAGAATTTATCTCATGTTATTTGGGGCTGCACATAGCTCTGGGTTTAAACCCCAGCACCTCCTACAACAGACATGGTAGCACATGCCTTCAATCCCAACACTCAGGAGGTAGAGGTAGGAGATCAGTTCAGGGTGCTGCTGAAATACATGGAGAGTTCAAGGCCAGGCTGGGCTAGAGACTATTTTCAAAAATTGCTTAGTCAATTCCTTACAAGAGACACTAGCTAGCAATGGAGTTGGTGGCTTTGCTGCTTTCTGTAGCACAACATAAACATCCAGGGCTGAGCAGGTCAGCCTAGAGATGGACCTCACTGACTTCAAACTGCTGTGTCCACTCCCATGTGTTACTTTTTTTTCCTTTAGAACAATCTTCTACCTTTATCCAGTTTTCTACTCCAGGGTTTCAAATACCTGTGGTCATTTATGGTCCAAAAGTAAGAAATGGGGAAATACCAAAAATAAGCAAATTATTTTCCCTTTGTATTGCTTTTGCAAAGCTACAATTCATAAGCTTTCAATCCAGTGCCATTCTGAGAAACAGGATAAAATCTGTCTCTGGTCCTAAATGGGCAACATACTTCCTAGTGTATCCTACCTACCTGCTAGTCACTCAGTAGCTGTCTGTTATCACACCAACTGTCATGGGATCACATAGCTGATATTCAAATAGCTCAAATTTTACTCCATGTGCGCAGGTAATCACCTTATTTCAGTTTCTATAAAGCTCTTACCATAACCAATGTATAAGTTCATCTTATAATGCTTATGTACATATAGAAAAAAAACAGAATACAATGCCATCTGTAGTTTGGAGTGTCTACTGGGGACATGGGAAAGTTGCCCAAAAGTTATAAATGGGAGAAAAGGGAGACACAATCACACTATACAATGATGGATTGATTAAGGGAATGATTGATTAGAACCAGAAGACTATGCAGTTTCTAAGATTAGAGGGCATTGGTTGGTTGCCACGAGCCCTTAGCATGCTATCTGGTACATTCATTCAGGCAGTATAAATGTATATCTAAAAATGCAGACATTACTAGCAGATGACTGAAAACCACAGGCTGAACCAAGAAAATACACAAGTAACTTACATCATAGACTTTTTAAAGACAGGGTCTAGCCCAGTTTGCCAGGCTGTGTTGAGATCCTCCTGCTCCTGCCTCCCCAGTGCTAGTATCCCAGGCATGTTCTGCCACATCCACCAACTCCCAAGACTTGCAACTATCTGGCTTTATTAAATACTACCATCTTCTGTATAACTGTTTACCTCTGCAGTCACCCTTGGTATACCTCTCGGTGAACTTGGTGCAGTTCTCAAGATTTATACTGAATTAATCCTACAGCAGTTCTGGTTAGCTTTCTCCAAATGGATGTAAACCCATAGCACTATCAACAGAGCTAATAACAGTGGGCTGCTTCTAGAAGGAACAGGGTGGGGGTGTATACTAGCGGCCCTGGACCCCCAAGACTTTTTATCTTTCCTGTCAATTGCCAATGTAACATCTTACTGGTTTCTTCTCCTGACATCATGCTTTTCTGAACACTACCTGGGACAAACGTCTAAGGAAAGTCATTAAAGGCTACATGAAATAAAGTCTTTCCTGACAGCTGCTCAGAAGAAGGCCAACACTTAAGAGGAATTGGGTGGTTCGGGAGTGGGGGTGTCATGGTCCTGGGAGAAGGGACAGCGATACGTGGGAAGGCGAAAATACTAAGCTACAAGCAGCAGCTACAAGAAGAAAAATGATCATGTGCCTAGTCATCTGGATGGCACACATAGTCCTAGGGAATTCTCAAGAAAGGACAATGTTTCCAATCTCTCCAAGGTAGGATGCAATACAAATTGTAGTGGGTTGATGGTTTAAAGCTTTATCGGTACAAAATACATTAGAGGTAGACTTTCTGAGAGGGCCAAATAAGCTGGCTGGGCTTCCTGCATGCTGGTCTTGCAGATTCCTATGTCCATCACTAGAGGGCAGCACAAGATCAATGGCTGATTTAAGCAAGGCCCATGCCTGCCTGTGGTTTGCAAAAGAATATGTATGGTGAGAAGAAAGTGAACCACCAAAGGCAGGGGTATTCCTTGCTTAAGTTATAATTCCAGCACCAATTCTACGAAGGGAATTTCAAATTTAATTAGGTAGAAAAAGGTGGGTGCTGACCCTAAGTCTATCTGGGAACCCCCAGAAAATTAGGAGAGAAGATGCTAAGAGTCAGAGCCAGGGATCGAGAAAGACCTCCTCTCCTCTAAGCATGGAGTGAAGGCTTGCAGAGTCTGCCTAAGAGCGGTGTGACAGGTGGAGTACTCACTACTTAGCAGAGTCCGACAGCTGGTACTCCCTCCTCCTGTCGTAACACTCCTGGATGCCTGGATCCAGCCACAGCTGCTTGATGGCTGCTACCTGGTCCCTGGTGAGCGCAGAGACCTTGTCCACTTCCACTTCTCTGATGATCTGGGCATTTTCCTAGTCAAAGGAAAGAAAACATTGCATTAAGCAAAGGAAAGGCTAGCAGATGTGAGGATAATCTTGTCCTGGATCCTGGGTTGGGGGCTGGAAGGTACAGGACTACACACAGCCAAGTCCTCAGAAACTGATAGACTGAGTAGGACAACTGATTGTTCAGTCTGAGGAAGTGAGCTGCAAATGACACCAGGCTATACCTCCTGTCCAGCAATACCAGAGGCAGCTGCCCAGACCCAGCACTCAGTGGTGAACAGAGATACTCATGCCATGCTCATTCCAACACCTGTATGGCAAGCTACATACATGTATTGGTGGCACACCGGGTTGTGTGGTGCAAGTGGGCCTACCCTGGGTGTAAGAACAGGAACACACTATCCCCAAGAATGGAAAAATCAATGCTGACTATCAGCCTGATAGTTTTCTTTTCCCTAAGCCTTTTTCTTTTTTTCCATTGTATTTAATTTTTTGAGGTAGATTTTACTTTGCAGAGCAGCACTAGGCTCAACAAAAACTTCCACTCAATGGCAAGTCCCCACATGCCAGCTATATAGTCCTATGAATCAATCACTGCACACCAAGGACTTAATCCCAGAACATCTGCTTTGCACAACAATCATTCAACTTTTATTACACACTTATTGCTCTGTTACCACACTAATGATTACAGTCAGGAGCTCTGTGAGAGCACACACATAAATATGTCTCATTTGCAAAACTAGCACATATCTACCATGCTTGAGTCTCTGCATCTAATTCCTTCTGCCATCCATAGCCAGAGAGAGTGATGGAGGGTCCTGGACATGTGTGGAGCATAGGCACAGTCCCAATCTCCTTGCTTCCCACTGCCATTCTATCCTCCCAGACAGGGTCACATGTTTTCCCCCTGCTCTACATCTGCCTCTACCCTCTACATTTAAAATGGCCATGGACCTCTGTCTTCAAACAAGTCTGGAAAAGCCACAAGAGCAGAGTCACTCACTGCCTTACTTGTCCTTTTATCCTAGCACGCAGTGCAGTGCCTGCAAGTAGAGGGTGTCTTCCATTGATAAGTGAACTCAGTAATCTCTGTAAAAAATGGAAATCCACAGCCATGGAGTGTATCTAGCATAGGAGCCAGTGCAGAGGGTTATGTGTCCACAAAGGAACTTGGGGCCTCACTGTGATGGCTCTCAGCCAGTCATCTTGCTAACTTCTTGCATGGCGTGTGCATCATAGGGTGTTTTCCAGTTTAACAGTGCAATCCAGCTTTGCTGCTGAGAATTAAAGCCAAAGAACTGGCAGAGAATTTGGGGTGGGGAACTGCCATCTGTGTTGGAGGTGGCCACCATCTACATATGTCCAGGAAGTAGATGAATAAAGCTGGTGTGTATTCAAACTCTAAGACAAGTGTTTTGGGAGCAAGCCAGCAGATGCAGCAATATCACTGATGACCAGGCTCTCAAAGAGAGTTCACCTCAGACATGCACGAATGTGACATAAACCCTTTATTCTGAACAATTTAAATATGCTAATAAGAAGGGGAAATACACAGTGTTCAACACTGACTTTCCTTTTCCTCTTTCTCAAAATCACCATTTTTCATAGCTTGGAAAGAGAACTCAGAAGACAGATGTGTGTCATGCAGAAGTTCCCAGGTCACCTGTGAGAGGGCTATAGATGAAGTAGTGCCTTCACACACACACACACACACACACACACACACACACACACACACACACACACACACGTTATTTTCTTGGTAGCAATGCTTGCAAGATTTTAAAAGCCAGTGGCTGCGGAACCTCAAAGCCTGACTCCACAGGCTTCAGTAGCATTGCAGTGGACTATGGACATGGATACCAGTTGTGAAAACAGAGATTGTATAAAAGTTGAAAATTCTGTGCTACAGGGAACTTTGATTTTGAATTATGTATTTTATTTTAAACAGTAGACCTTCCAAATATTATGTAGTTATGGTTTTGTCATTTATAACACTTCCATGATATTAATTATAATTAAAAGGACAGCTGGACAAGAAGAATTTGTTCAAGAGACCTCCTATACCTCCTGGTGATGAAGTGATGATGTATTATTTCCTTAGACATTGCCAAGAGGATGGGACTTTAGTGTGTTCTCACCATGCAAAGATACACACACACACACACACACACACACACACAAACTCTCCCTCTAATGCCAAATAGAAAAGTTGGATCAATTCTACAAGCAAGGGCAGCTGGAAACGTTGGAGTGCTTCTTGTGTTAAATATGCTTGAATGTATTACAGAGCTAAGAAGCAGTGGGTTTCATGGTGATGAAAAAGTTTACCACAGACCAAAGACACCTGTGGTAAACTGTGTGCACTATGTGCACACACACGCAGAGAGAGAGAGAGAGAGAGAGAGAGTGAGAGAGAGAGAGAGAGAGAGAGAGAGAGAGAGAGATGACTTGAGAGGTAGGACCTATGACATTGACTAAACTATAATGATGTTTCCCATAATTACCTTCTACATGTTTCTTGGATTAAAGATAAGAATGAAAGTAGAATGTTTAGAACACTGAAGGAAAGCAGCAGCCACTGGGCTTGGAAGGTCATTCATCCATCCTGGTTTGCACACACTACAACTGGCTTTCCAGTCAAACTTACTGATACGAGGCAACATTCAAGCACCTGCTTAAATCATGCTCAAATTCTCCAGACCCTGGTTCAGTTTCACACCCTTCACAGCCACACACAGATGAGTGTGCCCACTCTAACAAGTCACCTGCATTGTCAAGGTGGAGAGGGACAGAGGCAATGGTGGGTCTAAGCCCCCCTCATGGAATTGGGGCCACCTTGCTTCCATTGTCTCTGCAGCTCCCTAGATTCACACCCAGCTTTCTCCCCACCTGCCAGCTTTGCTCACCCATAGAAACCACACCTACTTACCTCAGATACACAGAAGCAGCAGCTTCCCAGGGCCTTGCTCTCCACTGTGCAGTGACAGCACAGTCCCTGGAATTAATTCACCATTCCACAGCACTCTCAGAAACTACTTCCCCGGTCAAACCCAACCTGATCACAAGTGCCTCCATCACAGTTCTCCCCATTCTAATCGGGGTCAAAAATCCCCTATTGCCATAGGTCCAGGTACAACTAGCACCTTAGGCACCAGCCAGGATGGCCTAGATGTCTCAAATTCATCTGTGCAATGACAGCCACTCTCACTGCTACTTCTGTTACTGGTCCCCCATGCTGAAGCTGGGCTGGGTTCTGGGACTATGCAGCCCTCCTCTTGAACATTCTAGCATACTGAGGTGTCCTTGGATGGGAACTACACCAGACCCTTACACAAATATTAAGAGACGAAAGAAAAGGAGCAACTAGAGTTAGGGATGAGTGAGGAATAGGTTCGTATTTCCACTAGAGGATGCCTGAGGGATGCAAAGTGAAGGTGATGTTCCAACAACTCCTCACACCTTTGGCACCGTGACCATTTCTGACAACACTTCCCAAGGGTGGGGCCAGAGATTCTCTTGGCTACATGTTTCACATGACATTCCTTCTCCTAAGATGTTTGGAAGTCATCTGAACCTTCCAGTCCTAGGATAGAGAGACACGTTCAAACTTACTCAAAACAGTACAAGTTTTGTTTTGTTTGTTTGTTTTTGTTTTATTCAGCTTTTTTTTTTCTTTTTTGTAACCCAGTTGATCGAATTCTGACAATAAAGTTTGCTTTGAATCAGAGGGCAAAGCTAGCTACTAGCAGACCAAAATTAACCATAGAGGTTTTGGAGAACTGAGGACAGATAGAGAGACAGAAAGTACAGCGGGGCTTAGAGAGGGTCCCAGCCTGTTTGGATGGAGGAATGAAAGATAGACATCACTGGTGGCTTCTCCGAAGCTTCTCTGATCTTCAGAATTAACCCCATATCTGACTCTGAAATTTTTACTGATAAAGAATAATTGGATAAACACTTCAATGTGGCCTGTAAAATTGCCCCTTGGGTGTTGGTTGAGTTGCATGTGTCCATGTGTACTGTGGGCAAATGGGGTTTCCCGCCACTGACTGGCTTTGAAGTTTCCTTAACTTCAGCTTTGTTTTACAGGAGACAAACGTAAGATTTGCCCTTGTTCTTCTCTTTCAGTTTCTGTTCTTTATCCAGATTTGTACCCATGGTCTTAACAACACAGACTCCTTTATCTCACACCCCTCTCGGTCCAGTAGGAGGGCAACTTCACTGTACATTGTTTTTCAGGGATCACACCAGACTCACTCCAGCGTGTGGCTCTACCAATGTCTGGTGCCCTGGAGTCCTCCACACCTGCAGAAGAGGGAGAGGATTGTGGAACAATGGGCGGGAAGTTCTATGAGCAGGTCTGGGTGGAGAAGACATCACTTTAGACACAGTTCATTGACCAGGATCACTCTGTGTCCAGCAAGTGTTGAGGAGGCAGGGAAACATGGCTTCCTGTACTCAGATGGAAAAGGAAGTGGGACTGTATGAAAGCTGAGCAATGGTGCCACTTACAGACTCACAGACTCTCTTTGCCAAGGGGACTTCCTGTATGACTCCCATGTAGCTAGTCAACCTACAACTGGTGGACCAAGTCCAGCCCTCGCCTCGGTGTGTGAACAACACTCTTCTGGAACTTAGCCAAGCCTGTAGCACTGCCTTCTTTCACACTGAACACAACAGTGCCAAGTTGCTGGGTCAGAACCCAGATGAAGTAGGGCTTTAAACATTCACTTAGCCACTCACAAAATGATGCTTGCTAACCCCAGAAACAGCTGGATAATTACATGCTTCCACATAGCACACCACTGTCCCTCCATTCCTGAATCATTCATCCCAGGCCTGTTTTATGAAGGAATCATTCTGCCCTGAGTATTAACAAGTACAAGAATGTGACTGTGAAAAGCATCCTTAGCTGTTCTCACATTGAACCTCACAGTCCTACAGAGACAGTGCTAACAGACATCCACAGTGTGGGAGAACCTTAGAAAAATGAATTCAGTGAGTATACAGGGAGAGGGCGG